ATTGTTGGCACTTCAGAAGCCTCCCTTTGAACTACTCCGATATCCCTCTGACCTTAAGGTGGCCCTCCTGGTTGCCATCACTTCTGCTGGGAGTGTTTCTGAATTGGCGAACTAGACCTGCAAGGAACCATTTCTAGTCCTCCACAAAGATATAGGTTTAGCCTAGGCCTCCTTTCTCCCTAGACTGCCTGCCTGCCTTCCACCTTAACCAGGGGTGGGTGGGAATGAGGCAATGGACCAGATGGAGGGGCTTTATTGGCTTCACAAATGACAACAAGAAGATATGCGCAGCTAATGTGTTTCAGGGGGAGTCGGGAATCCCCCTTCCTCAGGGCTTTAGCAATAAACCGGAAACTGGTGGACCCCAAGCTTACAGCCCTGGCACACAATCCTATTTCTTAGGCAGGAGTCTAAATTCTTGGTGTGATAAGAGCTTTACTAGCATTTGTACAAGTTAAATTGTGTGCAGGGGGCTGTAAGTTTAGAGTCCATCAGTGTCCTGCCATTCATTGCTTAAGTTTGTTTGCTGTGTTGCCCTACCCTCTATGAAGCTGCTTTTGGATGTCCCAGTGGTTAAAAAATTCAACTCCTTGTATATGAGCAAGAAAACTGAATTTTGTCTTGTGTAAAATCTGTTTCTTGGAGTACATGACCCGACACAGGGCCCTCCACTTTTTTATGTTTTACTATAAAACTGAGGCAGGCTGGGATTGGGAGAGGTTGTGCAGGACTGTTCTGTAGCTTTGATATTTGGGCGATGGAAAAGACCTTTGGTCATGACGGGTAACTACCATCGTGACAGGTTCCCTGTCAATATGTAGAAATAAAATAAGTACTGTTCAGTGTTGTTGCTGCTCTATTATATTTGCTCTTAATGATTGTCAGCTCTGCGGGCAGATTAAGTGGTGGAAGTGTTAGTGTTCCATTTTTCTTCTGTCCCACTCTTTTGGAGTGTTGAAGCATTTTTAAGGTTTCCAAAAAATGCACAGTTCCTTTTATTACAAAAATATATAATGAGTTTAAACTCTCATTGCATTTAAGCCTTTTCTGAGGAGTACCCCCACTAGCTACCTTGGTGCACCGTGGTGTTAACTATTTGATTCGGCTTTCAGAACTTATAGTGGGTTTTAATGGTAAAGAGTTAATACAGCCAATAAGCCTTGTAACCCTCTGGGACTTCATAGAATGGGGGCTTGTTGGCCCTAGCACACAGAAACTGCCTGCACAACATGCTGTCGGCCGCAGTTTCATTTACAAGAGACACGTTTGTGTGGGACATTAAGATGAAAGCACCGGGATCGAACAGGATCATCATTTCAGGGCCAGTGACAGCCGCCCCTTTGGAGAATGCAGTTACAGAGAGGCAGCAGGCGGTAAAGTTCAGCGTTTAGCTCGTATAGTAGTAATACGACACGTGTTTGCCTCCTACCTCGCGTTGGTTAAGTTCCCGCTGATTAACTTGGCAACTGTGAGATCCTGCTGTGTGGCCCTCTTTTTTTGTTTTGTGCTCTGCTCATCTCTCACCGACAGCAGCTGTATCACAGCCTTTAAGTCAGGAGGGGGATGATGTAGGGAACAAATGTGTGGGTTTTTTTCTTTTTCCAGTTGTCCACTGCAGAGAAGTCCTTCAGTTTATGGAAGCTTGTACTTTCCCATCCACTACAAAGATTGTGTGTCCTTGAGATTTGTTTTACATGGTCTCAAAAAAACAAACCTCTTAACTAGTCAGCCGGGTGTTTGGGAAATGCATTTCCTTTTAGCCTTTACATTTATTTTTTACAGAAATGACAAGTAAACCGTATATTGAAGGTGTTTTGATCACCTTTACGAATCCTAGGTATCCTTTAGTGCCATGGAGTGTTGGTGATGGTAAATACTTTTGAATGCTTTCACCTCCTTGGGCAAATCATAAGATTTGGATACTGAAATGGTGGGGCACTCGCCTATCATGCTATAATTTGGACAGTTCTGTTCATCCTAACTCTCCAGCCACCTTGCTATATTGTACCTAAATATTGACCTTTACCACTTTTTTCTTTAGTGCGTTCTTACAAAGCTGCTAAAGGAAAAGCAAGCAAACTTCAGCCAGTCAAACGTGGGCGTGGGCGCCCACCAACCAAGCATCTACAAGCCTCACGATCCTCTCGACAGCAAGCGCCATCAGAAAATGGAGCAGATGTGGAGGAAGTGGTAAGAAACTTTTTTCATTTTGGTTAGTGTGCATTGAGGTGTATGCTTTGAAGGTGTTTTTTGTTGTTTTTTTTTTTTTATATTGAAAAACATAAAACTGGATTATACACATGTGAATCCAGACTGTTCATCTTTGTCATGTTTCATTTTAGCTTTAAACTATTGGTGATTTTAAGCTTGGGGTGGAGCTTGTATGATTTCACATTTTTAAAAACATTTTAATTATAGCTCTTATTTAGGAAATGTCAGTTAAAATCAGATGGCTAACTTCAATTGCGAGTGCAAATGTTAGATCAGCAGGCAACCTTGTCCAAGGGCCACAGGCTTTGCTGGGAGCTGTGATTCCAATTTGGCAGATTGCGACCTGTTGTAAATGCAAAGATTTTTCTCCATATTGCCTAATGAAGAAAGTGTCTAGCTGGCAGTCTTTACACATAATAAGCAAGTCTGCAATGGCAGCTCCATTACTCCTTTCCTGATGTGTGTTCCCCTTTTAAATGTGTATATCCATTAATTTGACGATTTGCTTCACCTTCCAGATACGTCGCAGCAAGACAGGTTCCCGTCGCCAGAACCAGGAGCTCCAAAAGTGTGAAGAGATTTTATGTAAACTCATAAAATACCGATTTAGCTGGCCTTTCAGGTAAGTGTACAAACTGTAACGGCTTTAATACCTGGGAGGGGGAGCTCAGCATGCTAAGAGTTATAGTTTACTTAAAGTGTAACTTTTGGTGTTTTTGTAGCAGACCAGACCTTGAGATGGGTAGATTTATAGATGGATAGATACAACACATACATCTCCTAATTGACATTGAATGTGTTGCTTTTCAGGGAACCAGTTAATACGGATGAGGATGAAAACTATTTAGAAATGGTAACCACCCCTATGGACTTCCAGACAATGCAAAGCAAGTGTTCCTGTGGCAACTATCAGACCGTTCAGGAGTTCTTTAATGACCTGAAACTTGTATTTGGAAACGCCGAGCTGTACTACAAGCCAGAATCCCAGCAATTATCCTGTTTAGAGAAATCGGAGCAGTGCGCAAGGGACCTCCTCAGCAAACACCTTCCAGGACACATGTACCAGAGAAGACATCGTAAGCGTCAGGCTCCTGAACCTGAACCAGAAAGCAATGGCCGGGGGCGCAAGCGAAAGAAATGAAGACCTAACTAAAAACGAGGGAGGATAGGAGATGGGTTTGAGAGAGAGGGTCATGGGGACAGAACTGGAAGTTTACCCCTTTTTTAGAGACCAAACATGCTTTGAGGATTATATCAATCATGATTGAGAGGCCCCTTAAATATTTGGACGTGCGGCTATTTTTGTTTTTTTGTTTTTCCCTTTCCCTCCCCATTCTGTTTTTCCCACTTTGGATGTGTGCTGCAGCCAAGAGTACCTTGATTAGTGTAGTATTTATTAAATTATGCTACCCTACTACACTCTTCAATGGCTGCTGCCTAATATATTGTGGTAATGCTGCGCACACTCCTGTCAAGGCACTTAATGGTGTTCAACCAGGGGAGGATTTAAAAAGTGACATTCAGTGTTGTGGGTTCTGCAAGAAATGACCTCTGAAACTCCTGCACTGCTGGCAGTTTCTAACGTCCACGCTCCAGGACTTAAAAACATTAATTTTTTAAGGGATGTCAGAAATCCCACACCCTACTGTGTTTAGAAGTTATGCCAATTGCTTATTTAAATGTGCCCCAAATGCATAAAACACCAACAGGGAGGCACCTCTGAAGCTGGAAAAACCTAAATAGAGAAAAAAAAACTCACCAGCACCTCCAACTTTGCCTGCCTCTATACATATGCTACCAGCAAGGACTGACAGAATGGAAGATGACCTATGATGCCCTCCCTCAAAGAAGGATTTTCCTTTTTTATTTTTAAAATCTTCCTCTGCCGACACAGGTATCCAACTGTCACTTTTGTGCATTTTTTTGTACTGACTTTTTCCCTTTTTCTAGTTAATAAATGTTTGCTTGTGATCTTGTATAAAGGGAGACTTTGTCTGGGTTTGGCACATGTACAGTACAATTTATATGAAACAAGTGTTTGCCTTTATTATTATTAAAACAGAAGGAACCACACAGCTTGTCGGACATTTAATTTAGCTAATTTTCTTAATAGTTTGTGCAAACACAGTGTTCAGCAGGCGTCGATGTAAACGACTTAGAATGTCACACTAGTACTGGGTTGCAGAAGAGGTTCCTGCTGTGAACAGGCCAGTGAAAAAGCTCTCTGAGCATAGGTACCCTGTCAATGCTTAATGCAATCCTCTGTCGTTTTTAAACTCTACAAGACCTAAGAGCCGGTACCACAAGGTGCCTGTTGTCTTAAGTCAGTAAAGCCTTCTCCGAGCAACCCTCTGAACTGGTTTTCTTTTAACATCCGCTTGAATGTGGAATCTGTCTTGTCCTATGTATTCCTTAGTGGATCATGCGGGTGACCTCATTTGATGGGGCAATTGTGGGTGGGGCTTATTCCTTAAGTCACAGGTCAAGCCCTTGGGTTTTAATCGGAACTCCATTTCTGAGATGGTGTGTGGACTAGCAGGAAACTTTTTATGGTGGGTACAAAAATCCTACTTCATTAAGGGACACGGTAATATTGTAATTATTGGACTTTTGAGTTATGCTACAGTAGAGCAATAAAACACTGGCAATCAAGCTGTTGGCCAGCCAGGTGTAACCCCTCCTTATCCCATCATGCATAAGTGGTTTTTGGTGGTGGCATAAGGGGGAACTTGAAGAGCCGCAGGAGAGAAATCGGCGGTGACAACAAAGCCAGCGCTAGAGGAAGCAAGACGGCACCGGAGGGAGCAGAGCCGCATAAGCCGATGCCCCCTTTATAGCGCTGGCTCCTGTCACAGGCAGAGTGATACCAAATGCACTCCGCCTGTGAGGAATAGATAGTGAAAGTGCGCTTTGCTTATTCTGGCCAGCGATTGCATATTGCTCTTGGAAAGGTGTGGCACCCCTGATTGCCATATTTTTGTACATGAATAAGTGTGGATAGTTGTACATTAAAAAAAGAAAATAAGACCTAGTGTGTTTTTTGGCGCCAAAAACAAATATAAATATGTCTTATTTTGGGGGAAACGCGGTATATTTCACTTTGCATAGAAGAAAAAAAAAGCAATAAACAAGTGTGAAACACAAAACAATGTGAGGAAGGCAATATCACTCTAAAATGTTTTCCTTGCGAGTGTATCTTCACACTAAAATAAATGCGAACATAAATGTGTAAATTTATCTATCCAATATAAATATAGTATATAGCAAATAAATCTGTCTCTTCAACCATCCTTATTAAATAACAATTAAGTCCCAACAGCTGTACAATTAATGAAAGGTTTCCACTATTCCACATGTGAACCCCACTCCCAACAGCTTTCTCAAAAGGTCTGATTAAGAGTGCGCAATCTGTTTACTTGCTTTGTAGTTTGCTTCGCTCCCCCTTTAGTTGGCTGTAGCAGTCCTCTTCTTAATTGTATTGCTCATGCAAAGGACAAAGTGGAAATCATAGCGCATACCAGTAGATCAGGGGTGACGAGCCTCTGGCTCTCCAGCTGTGGTGAAACTACAAATGCTTTTTTTTTTTTTTTTTTTGCTTTCCAGTCTACAAAAACACCTAAAACCAGCAATATAACCCAAATGCCCAAGAATTACTATATCCCAGTAAACCTTTTTATGATTGGATTTTTTTTTTTGTAAAACAAAAAATTCTGTTTCCTTTCTTGTCCATTGAGAGACACAGCAATCTTTAGCTTTTAGAACATCCAATAGAACTCCAACTGAAGGGTGAGCACCAAAAGAGGAGGTTGAAACATCCACCTTGGAGAACATGCAAACAAAATATGAGGCGACAGTCTTGCAAATCTGGGAAACAGTTGCTTGATGCCTAGAGGCACTTCCAGATCAAGTAGATTGTGCTTTGACAGGAAAGGGTGGAACCAGATCCTTGAGACGATAACCTTGGATGATGGTCTGTCTGAGTTACCTGGAAATTGTGGAACGAGCAGCAGTCACTCGTATGGGGAACAGCAGGAACAACAAAAACTAAAGCGGGTTTCCTGAAAGAAACAGTGGCTGAGAGATGGATAGCCCAAACCACATCCAATCGAGGGGAATGTTTCTGGTGAGCTGGACAGAGTAGTGGAAGAATTATGTCCTGGTTGAGGTGAAAGGCACAACTTGCCAAAGAAGGAGGTCTTGGCCCTCAGGAGAGCGAGGAATTTCTGTAAATGGTTCCACTGGCGATTAAAAAAGGGCAGAGAGAACCAGGTTTAGATTCCATGGAGTCACAGGGAGACTCCTTGTACAAAGGCCTTAAGGAGTGAGAGAGGCCAATAGTCTCAAACAAGATAGAGAGGGCAAAGACCTGGCCCCGTACAGGGTTAAGGGCCAAACTCTGGTCCCGATCCAGCTGAAGGGGAAAAAAAAGGATTCATGCCGTGGAGCAACTCCTAGGGTCAGAGACCTGAGACTAACACCAAGTGAAGTATGCCTTCTACGTCTGATAGTCCTTGCAGGAACCAGCGCCCTTTGCTTCAGCATCATATGAATTGTAGATTTATAGATTCCGACGGTTTCTCAAAACAGGTTTCAACAGCCATGCCATTAAAGCCAGCGAGCGTGAAGCAGGATGCTAAATTGGTCCTTCAGACAGCAGATCCTTGCGATCTGTCAGAGACCACAGAACATCTGCAAGGAGTCTTTCCAGTTTGTAGTACAACATCCACCTGGGCCAGTCTGGAACAGTGAGGATCACTGGAATGCTTCTATCTCTATCCTGTGAAGCAGACTTTTAAATTCAAGGGAGGAATGGCATAGATCAGGGTATAGTGATCCAACAGAGCACTAGGGGTTCCCTGCACCTTAAGTCAAACCTGTCAAGTTTGTTGTTGATTCTGGAAGCCAGAAGTTCCCCCGCCTGGGACCCGGTTCCTGGAATACCTTTGGGTGTAAGGACCACTTCCTTGGGTTCAGACATTGTCGGCTAAGTTAAGTGTTGATGCCTGGGATGTACACAGCGGACAAGTCTAGGCCTTGCAGCGCTGGATTGGGCTGGGTTTCCCCGTTTCAAATCCCGGCCAGGTCAATATCTGCAAAGTGCTTGCATGTTGTCGCTGCTGGAAGGTTAATTGGCGTCTAAATTGGCCCTTGTACGTATGCATGTGAGATAGGAACCTTAGATTATAAGCGCCTCATGGGCGGGGACTGATGTGAAGTGCTGCGTGAATTGTCAACGCTATATAAATACCTGTAATAACTTAAACAAATCTTCCAGCAGGGTGGTCCAACGCTGCAGAGACAGCCAAATTGGGCAAAGCTCAAGAATGTTCAGTGCATGACAAGACTCTGACAACCAAGTCACTTGCACCAACAGGGTGTCTAGACTGGTATCTATCGTGGAGCTCAAGACTCATGCAAAAGTGCAGAGTCGTACAACTCCTGGACTGGAGAGCTGGAATTTGGAAGTCTGAGGTTTCTCCTGTGGAAAAAACACTGAACTAAGTTGTGTCCAGGACTAGACCCAGGTGCTCTATGCAAAAACCTTCTCCCTTGACGGCAATGGGGGATCAAACGCATCTTACACAAGGGTTCCGCAGTCCAGAACTCTAACCAAAGTGTCCTAAGCATGTGTACTGACACATCACAATGGAAATGTAAAGCTACAGCCGTTACCTCTAAGCAAAAGATCAAACACAGCAATGGTGAAATCAGTCAGAGAACGTAATCCACGGTATAACAAAGTAAAGTCACAGGATGGGGTGAAGGGCAGGGCCTGCCAGCAGAGTTCTAGCATGGGCAGCGACAGGCGAGTCTTCTACAGGCATAGTAAGCACCATGTTAAGGTGAGACGCTGCTGGATCCACAGTGGGGATAGACCACTTTTGTGCAAAATCCTCCCCAAACAGGTGTAAGACTAATGAGTACTTGGGGGGAGCAAACCGTTAGGGTGTTTCCAATCTCCATAGTGAGAGTTGAAAAAGTGGGTGTAATGGAAAAATCTTTGTCCTTAGGAGCTTTCAGGGACCCAAGACTGGCTGAGAAACCCCCCAAGACCATGGTTAAATTGGATAGAGAAGGTGCAGAAGCGCATTTGTGGCCTCTGCGGTCATAGCCATCAAATATCTGGGTTGATTGGACCATAAAGTCTTGCATGACTGTACTGTCGTAAAAAAAAACTCAGCTGAAAGGGCAGCCACCCCAAACTGAGATCATGTGGACTCTGATAAATAAATAGACCAGAGGGCAACATGATTTGAGTCTGAAGACTTTGGCACCATCAGTAGGCACACTGTAAGCAGCCCTGGAGCTGTTCTTAGGATGCAAGTTTTCCCCCTTCCCAAGTATATAATCAGATATGTTGTGTCCAAATGGTGATAAGGCAATTTATAGGCTCAGGGTAAGATGCCAGTTCTCAGGTACTCAAACCTGGACAACTGGTAGCAGGTGGGGTTTGGATAACCAGAGGTGACCCGAGTCTCTGTAAGCAGGCAGAAGGGACAGATCAAAGTTCCACATGGAAGCAGCTGGGATATGCTTCCTCCACACCATGGTTAAAAAAGAGTGTGAAACTTTCGGCGCACTCCACCTAGTGGATGACGTTAGTGCTGAGTCCCACAGCGTTAACCCCTTCCATTGTGGAAAAGAATAGCAAAATGTGACATTTGTGCCCACCCACTTATGCAAATGAGGCAGTTCCCAGTGCTCAGCCCAACCAGCCTACTCACACAGGGAGTCATCAGACAGTACAGTTTATGCCTGCATCATCCAGTGAGGTCTGAATGCACGCTTCAAATGCCAGGCTGAGGATGGTCATGTGGGATAGGTGCAACAATAGAGGCCATCTTAAACATTATTGTACAAGAAGAGAGATTAGAAGTTGGAAGAAAAAAATGAAGAATAAACAGTGCTACCAAAAATAGGTTGGTCTTAAACAAAGCAGAGCTGAAGAAAAGTTGTCCATTCTCCTAGGACACTGGCAAAAATTTAAACATTCTCGTAGTAGGAGGGGTTATCCTATGCTGGCCAATTTATTTTATTTTTTTTTGTCCGTGTCCAATCCTCCTGTAGACA